GATCAAACTCAGGCCATAGTGGCTGGTGATAGCTTGGTAGTGCTGAGACTTAAGCACTTCACTGCCACAGAGGCCTGCATTAGCAGGATTTTAGAGAAATAGGCTGAAATTTTTTAGGAACAGCATTTATATACCCTTTGCTTCCAAATTTGGTTTTGAAAGGATTTGTTACAGCCTGGGGTGGTGGGGGTGCTTTTTTTTTTACCATAATGAGGTTGTGGCTTTACCCTTGATTTAGTTTTACCTCCATTTTGGTTTTAGCTTGTTTTGCTTGACTTTTGGTTTTGTCTGAAAGAAAAGATAAACAACCAGAGTGAGGATCAACAGGGTAAGGACAAGGAATTCATGGTTACCAGGCTGGTGACATAGTGACAACTCTTTGTGTTTCTGGAGGAAGGACCCAGCAGGGCAAACCTCTCTCAGGCAGGAGGCCTCCCAGACATTCTTGATCCTCCCACACCAGTCATCCTGCCTCTTTCTTCCCTCACTTCCTCCTTAACCCCAACTTTCCCTCCTTTCTTCAGATCCTATCCAGAGACAAGGGCGCAGCTCCTGCTCAGAGCTGACCTCCAGCCCTTCACCTCCCTGCAGCTGGCTCCTCCCAGGAGATGGCATTTGAGGCAGTAACTCTTCCGTATCCTCTCCTGGAACACCTCACCCCATTGAGTCACCCCTGCCACCCCTGCTGTGCTTCCCTCCCCAGTGCAGGCTGGAGACTGGGCAACCAAGCAGTGAGGGCGGGCTGAGGCTTTGGGCACAGCTCCCACACCTCCTCACCTCCCCCCACCCTGCAAAAGCTATCCTGGGCTATTTGCAATGGCTTCACCTCCTAGCCCAGTGTTGTATGTATTGATAGAGTAATCTCTGCTGATGGGGAGGTGGGGGCAATGGAGATGGAGTGACTTATCAATTAAAAAGCAACTACTTGTTCACAAAACATTGATAAGCAGGCACAAGAGAGGCAAGGAGGGATAAAAGCCTGGGCTGTGCTGAAAGGCCAAGTCCAAATTAAAATTAACAGGTGGTCCTGCTAATACTCTGCTGAGAGCTGTATATATATAGGAACCACATGAAGTCAATCTCAGACCTTTGGACTCGATGCCCTGAGGTCTGTGAAGCCTTCTGCAGATTTGGCATCTGCTCAGGAAGCTCTGCCTGGAGAAGCAGCACTCCCGCCCAGGCAAGCTGATGCCGCAGGGGAGTTCCTGACCCCTCACCTGGTCACTCTCCAGCTGGTTTCGGGGACTCTTCTTAGTGACTCAATCCCCTCCTCTCTCTGCTGTCCACCGAATTGTATGCTCATGTTGTGATGTTGGGTCCTTCCCCCCATAAAATCATAATGTGATTACATGAGATTGGTTTGATTCCTAAGAGAAACCTCTCTGCCCAGGTGGAAGTTAGCACTTTTGAGAGCCAAACTTCCTTATTACACCCAGTCCTCCCCATCCAAACTCCAAGACCCCCCAGGAACCCTAACCTCCTCCTGATGCCTCTTCATACCCCAGCTCCTCCCTACTCTGACCCTCCTGCTTGATGGCACACAAAGAAGCCTGCAGTGCTCTCTGTAGTTACCTGCGCCCAGAGGAGGGGTTCTGCCCATGCCCATCACAAGGCTGGTGTTGCCTTCCCTGGGAGCCTTCTGCAGAGGGGGCCACTCAACAGGCAGTAGCCCCCAAGGGACAATGGCTCACTCAGATAGAACTTATGGACTTCAGTCCTATTCAGGGAGCATCTAAAGGTGCCAGAAAACCCCAAGAGACATTTCCTATTTTCCCTGTGGATCCTACATGGGGTGTATCCCATGTAGACTATAAAATCTGGTGAAGAGTATGTGTATAAGAGAATGAGTGTGGGCATCTGTGTGTGTCTGTGTAAGAATACCTCCCTGGATGAGAGGGGCTGTGAGTGAGTAGAACAGAGTGGGTTAGTCCTTCCATCATGTCCCCCCACATTTAGCCCTCTCCAACCTGTGGGCAGGAGTGGACAGTAGGGGTTGGTTGCCACCTGGTGGCCATGACCAGCAGCACCAGCCTCCTCTATCTCTTTTCTCACTCCCCACAGCCCCTTCTCATTCCCCACTCCCTCTGCAACTCAGGCACACAGGACTGAGCCCAGATCCTTCTTGGAGGCCCCAGCCCACTTTCCCACCTTCGTTACCTTCGTCTCCAGCCCTGACAGCTCTGCCAAGACCGAGACAAAGAGCCTGCTCTCCTGTCTTCTTCCTTGAAGGGGAGTCAGGCAAACAGGGCTTATTCCTGACCTGGGTCGATGCCTTAACCTCCCAATCCTAGGCTCCTTAGCTACAGAATGAGAGAATGGAATCCTGTGTAAAAGGAAACCACTCAGTTGGGAGTTGGTTATGTTGTCATGGCCCACATCTGAGTTTCTTCTGCCAGACTGGACAGGTGGGAGAAACAATAGACAGGACAGAGGAGGGAAAAGGACAAACCTCAGCTCAGTGTCACATGTGCACAAGGAAATATCTGTGAGTTGTCCACTCAATTTGGTGGCAAGGGGAGCTAAGTCACAGCAAGGGCCTCACGGGATGGAATGGCATCAAGGGAGGGTTGGGAGGAGACAGACAGCAGATGCTTCTGGGCTGAGGACCCAGGTGGTGCTTCCCCTTAGCCCCAAAGCTTATGGAAGAGGGAATGGCACACACATTCAGGGTCAGGGATCACAGGGCAGATGAGCACCTGACTCAGCCCACAGGACACTGGTGTCAGTGGGGCATCTTCACAATAACCATTCCCAGTCAGCCTTGCACCAGAAACTGACCACCACCCTACCTGGGGCCTACTGCTCAGTTGTAAGAGGACAAAGTCCTCTTGGGGGACCCCAAGACAGGGTCTGGGCAAAGGTGGGGCCTGGAGCCCCAGGTCCCCAAGAGATAGCTATCAGCCGTGAGACCCTTCAGCTCTGAAGAGAAGACCTCAAACCAGGACAAGCAGTGGGGTAGGAGAAGCAGAAAGCCTCTGTGGTCCCAAAGGCAAGGACGGCCCCGGGAGCGCTGCGGGTGTGGTAGGACGGCACTGTTCATCTGCCCCCAGGCCTCCCTCCTCCCTCCACCTGCGAAGGAAATTCTGATGCCCAGCCTGCAATAATCAATGGTTACTGATGTAGACAAGGTGGGGTGCAGGCCAGTGAGAGGACAGGGCTGGAGACTGCCAGTCAGTCTCCACACGGCCCCCAGTCTGGAGTCTGCCTTCTCCACCTGTGCAGAGGCAAGGCTCACAGTCAGGAGAGCAGACACAAGTCTAACCCTGCAGACACAAGTCTGGGCTGCAATTGCTGCAGAGTTACATTCAGAGTACCCCTTTGGCAGGACCCAGAAAAACTGGGATATGGGATTTAGGGGAATCCAAGTGGACAACTCTGGCCAAGAAGGGTTCAGAGGCCCAGACTCTGGCTGTATGAGCACTCAGGACAAGGCCAGCAGAGTGTCTCAGAGAAGCTCCAGGCTCTCTCCTTTGGGCAGCCTGTCTGTTTCTGCCTCTTGTTCCTCCTTTCCCAGCACAGTCTTCACCAGCCAACACATCCTCTGTCTGTTCCATGCCCAGGTCTCCTCAATAGCTTTCCACCCTTAAACCCCCATTGTCTGGCCCAGGAGCACCCCAACAGGTCGATGACTCTCTCAGAAGAGGGGTTGGGCAGCACGGGTGGGAGCTCCAGTAGCCAGGAAATTCTAAAGGGCATTTGCCTTCCCCAGTCTGTTTCCCCCAACCCCGCACACAAAGTCTGCCAACAGCCCCAAGGGGGAGGGTTGGTAGAAAGAAATAGATTTATTCTCATGTACAAAGCGGTCAGCCCACGGGACCATATACAACAGTTGCACAGAGTCCTAGAAAAATGCATCTCTCTAAAGGCAACTCAGAATAGGTAAGGCAGGTGGCCCCCTCCCCCACCCCACAGCACATACAGAACAAAACAGAGAAGGGAGAAGCCAGAGTCCAGGATGACCCAAGAGGCCCGGCCCAATGGGGTCTCCCAAGCCCCGGGGCACGGGTGGATATGGCCTTGAAGGGGAGATGAGCCCTCTGGGACTGAGGCCGGGTCCCTCTCTGGCTGCAGGAATGGGGGCGTGGCTCTGGCTAAAGGGGTACTCTCAAGGGGCCACTGGGGGACTCAGGGTCGGCTCTCTGCTCTAGGGTGGCAGGGACATCCCATGTCCTCTCCACAGAGCTATGAGGACTTTGATCTAAATGGGGTCTTAGAGAAAGAATTGTCTCCCCTCCTGCTCTGCCCAGATAGGGGAGGGGACTTTGCCCAGATAGGGGAAGGGACTTGCTCAGGGTCACACAGCCAGGAGGCTGGCTCAGCCTGGGCCTGTCTCTGAGCCTAGGGGTCTTTCCTGCCACCAATCCCATCCCACTTTCTCCCTGAGCCTCTTCTCCTCAGAGCACTGAGCTGCCTCCTTGTGGGTCCCTTGCATCTCCCCGGGTCCCGATCCCCAACATAAGTACAGTGGCAGTCCTCGGGGGCACCTTCGGCCCCGGTGGCTGTTGATAGTCCTCCAGCAGAGCTAACGACTGTTTATAAGATCACAGATGATCCACCTCCTTGCATGAGACCCTGGGGAGGGGAAAAGGGCACAGGTTTGGTGGGGCAGGAAGGAGGCCCAGGAGAATCCATTCAGGATGTCTCAGAGAGGCAGTGACTTAAGCAGGACTTGCCAAGGTCAGAGGCCAGAGCAAGACCCACTGCCCACTGGTCACCCTGTGCTCGCAGAGGACAAATTAAAGTCTTGGTGAGGGTAAAAGTCTTGTGTTCATTATAGAGAAGAGAAGCTGAGGCCCGGGAAGGTCAGTGATTGCCCAGGGTCACATGGGAAGTCCTGGTCTCGAACCAGAACACATGGCTCTGGTCCTAGCGCTTCTGGCCAGGCCAGTGGAGGGCTGTGGGAGGTGGCCTGGGCAGGGAAGGGACCCAGGAGGGGCTCACTCAGCATCAAGGCTGCAACACCCATTGATGGGGGTCCCAGTGCCATCCAGTTCAGGCACCTCATACTCCTCGTCCAGGAAGTCCAGCGAGTTGTTGCTCGGGAGGCCGCGGATGGTGAACTTATGCGACACCTTGGTCCAGTGCTCACGGTTAGAAGCCACGCGTTCATACAGCTCTGATGCCTTAGGGAACAGGTCCTGCAGCAGCCTGTGGGTGTGTGGGGGCAGGGTTAGAGGCCAGAGCTCGGACCTCAAGAAAGGACCTCAAGAAAGATCAGGGTTATGGCACATGTCAAACTTCCACAAGGGAGCAGGCATATGACTAGGCCCCCAAGGAGACCATAACAGTCTCTCTGGAGAGAATCAAGGATGAAGTGAAGGGTCCTTTTAGGGGCAAGCTTGTGCCCAGAAGCAGAGGGGTGGATCAGCTGGAGCTGGACCAGGCTGCTGTGATGACCAGAGCTGGCCCCACCCCACCCAACCTCTCTGTGAGGGGCCCCTGCCATCCCCGTGAGCTCACTCACTTGTAGATGGGCATTGCGATATGTTCCATGAAGCTGATTTGCAGCTCGGGGATGTAGGCCTTCTCGCGGTCCATCATCTCCATTGGCCTGTTGCCCATGGCCTTCTCCTGTGGGCACAAGTAGTCAGCCTGGCCCTTTTCCTCCACCAGGTGATGGCGATCCCATTAGCAGCCCCCTCCCCACATCACCAGGTAATGGAGATCCCCCTCCAGCCCCAGGCCAAAAACCCTCTCCCAACCTGGACACCTGAGGTCACTCCCCACATACCAGGTCTCCCTGGGAGAAGAATTCCTTGTAGATCAGCTCCTATAAAACCAACACTCTCATCACATCCTGTGAGTGGTATCCATCCATGCATGCTCCTCCCATAACTTATTCCCAAGAGGGCCTGTCCTCACCAACCCTAGCCTGACAGGGATGAGCCCCGATAGGGAAGAGTGGTTGGGTTCTGCTCCACCTTCCACCAATCTCCCCTTTGCTCTGACTCCAGCAGAGTCCATATCCCTCTCAGAACCTTATCTGTCACCATGACATAATCTAGCTTTCTATCTCCTCATACAGTCAGGCTGAAGTCAGCACAGAGAGGGTGCTCAGGCCACAGGGAGCCACACAGAGTGGGGCAGCCTCCGAGGCGGGGGCACTTACGGCTATCTTTCTCGTGGTCTTCCAGCCCTTGGTCTGGTCAGAGAGGTCACAGGAGGTCATGAGGAGGCAGAGGAGGAGACTGTGGTGCTGCTTGTTGGTTCGGTCATAGCCCACTGAGGGGGAGAGGATGGGGTCAAGGAGAGAGACCCAGCTTTCCAGGCCCCTTTTTCTGAGGGCAAGGCCCCCAGGGTCTATCTCCAAGTGGTGCGGGGGGTTCCACTCCCTGTATGGGAACCATGGGGTGGGTGCTGGGTCTGCCTAGTGGGTTGATGCTGGAAGGGGATAGGCTGAACCCCTGGAGATGTTCTCCAGGCCAATCCCCCTCTTAGTCCTTCCCATCACCAAGGCTAGGGCTACAGGTAGGCACCTTCAGCCATCTTCTGGAGGTCTTTGAAGATGCGAAGGTGGTGGGCCAGGTCCGTGGCCAGGATGATGTCCCTCATCAGGTCCAGCATGCGCTGATAGTCCTGGGCCAAGGCAGGGTGGGGGAAGGGGTGGTAACATGGCCTCCTGCCAGACACTCCCTCCCGCTACCCCAGCCCTGAGAAGCCTCCACCCATCCAACCATTGGCTCCTCCTGTTTCCAGCCACTACCCCACCCCCAACTACCCACTCCCACCCCCCATGCCATCACCTTCCGGGAGAAGTGGTCGAAGATGTTGCAGCCGTGGGTGTTGAGAATGGCAATGGCCTGAGCGAAGTGGTGCCTCTGAAGGGTGAGGGGAAAAGAATGACAGGGACCCACTTTATCACTGATGCCAAGAGAAGAGCAGGACTGGTCCAGCCTCAACCCCCAAGGTGAGCAGAACAGCCAAGGTGGGAGTCAGAAGTCCCAGTTCCCTTTCTGGGTTCTGATTTGACCCTCTGTCTGACCCAGGCAAGTTCCCTCCCGGCTCTGAGCCTCCAGTTCCTTAGCTGTCACATGGAGGGATGTGGCAGGGTATGCTCTGAGAGCCTCTCAAATTGGAGTGATTCTCAAATGATCCCTCAGAGTCCTAGACACTAATTCATGCAGCAAACATTTGTTTGCTGACAAGGAGAGGTGATGATGAGGCGAGGGCAGAGCTCCTGTCTCCTGACGCTGAAGAGCTGTCACTTGCAGGGTGCGGAGGGCAAAGGCAGGCCTCCCACGAGGGCAGGAGTCCCTTATCTCTGGGGGTGTGCAGGCAGAGTTGGTCTCTGAAGGGGTGTTGTGGGAGACAGCATGGGGTGAAATGACCTTGGAAGTCTGGCTGCCACTCTGTGCCAAGCTCTGGGCCAAGTGCAGGGAACTCAGAGGTGTCTCCATTTTGTTCCAACCCAGGGAACCCCTACCTGAGGGCAGGGAGACCCAGCCAAACAGTTGAAGGCAAAGCTGAGTGTGATGGGAGTAGAGCCTGTCCTAGGCTCGGTGGTGAAAGGGCTGCCAGGGCATTCCCAGGCACATGAGGAACTGTGTTCAATACAAATTCCTTTGCAGACCTGGGCTGCAGCAGTAGCTGCAGCCCGAATTGCACCCCCATCCACACTGGGCCCCCCCCTTCAGGCTGGCCTACCCAGGAAAATGAGCTAGACATGCCCTGGGGGTGAGCACAGCTTCACAGCCTGTCTGCAGAGCAGGGCTTGGGAACAGGAGTTGCTGGGAGGAGGAGGGGTAGAGATGTGGGAGGGGGAAGGTACCTCCATGACAGAGCCCTCGGAGCTGTAGAGTGCAGCCAGCACAGATTTCTAGAAAAATCCAGGAAAACCCCATCACCAATCCAGATCCAAGTATCCCCTATGTGAAGCTAAGCCTTGTCCATCCCTCCCCCTCCCTCCCCCACTCCCACCTCAGAGCTCAGTGCAAACTCTGGGGGAGCATCCTGCTGTCTCTAAACTGGTTCCTGGGGTCACCAGCTCCCACCATTTGTCAGCTGGAGGGGCAATGCTCCCAGACACCCCAGGGAGTGTGCCCACTGTGAGGCGGGCGGGGTCTCACCGAGGCCACCTGGAAGGAGTTGTTGGTGCCTCTGTGGTCCAAGTCGTGACACATGCAGGAAACAAACAAGGCAAAGATCTCGATGTCCCTGGTTGGGAGACAGAGGAGAGAGGGGAGCGACAGCTGGGTGAGATCCAGAAGCCACCAGGCAGGAGCAGGGGACTCCTGGGTCCCCTTCCTGGAAGGAAGCAGTGGTGTGAGTCTGCCAGGCTCACGGCTCCTGGGTATGTGATCCTGAGCAAGTCCACCCTGGAAACTGGGGCTACGCAGCCTTCCTTATGGCTGTTAAGAAAGTCCCACGTGCTGGGTCAGGTAAAATGTCATCCACATGGGAAACGCTTGAGCCCCAGGGGCTGCAGATGGGAGGGAAGAGCAGCTACTCACTCGAGGTAGTTGGTGAGCTCCAGGTTCTTATAGAGCAGGTAGCAGAAGTGGGAGACAGAAAAGGCGTGCATCCAGTTGTGGTAGGGGGGATCCCGGTAACCCTTCTTCACCATCAAACAGAACCTGGAGGAGAGGATGGGGGAGAAGATGGGCCTCAGGCTCTCCACCCTGCCCCGCCCCGAAACGCTTCAGGCTCTACCCATTCTTTCCTTTCCTCGTGGTCCCATGTCTGGGACTTGCCTCTCACACACAGATCCTCCCCATCCCTCAACTCTGGGCCTCCCAAGTCATCCTCAAAGAGACTCTTTCCCAAAACTCTGGGGGCGATAGAGGTGAGATGACAGGACCAGGGGAGGCAGAGACAGAGCTGCCTGCCCGCGGAGGTGGGGGCCTGGGGGCACCTACCGGGCCAGTGTTGGGCAGTCGATTTTGTAGTTATTGATGAAATTCATATCCTGCAGCATGCTCAGGATGGCCTGGAGAGGTGGGGGCAGGGGATCAGAGACACCGTCAATTTGAGGATGGGACCCCTGCCTCGGTCCTTCTTCAAGTCCCACACTCGAAATTTTGGAGTCTTAGATATTTAAATGTTAAGTACAGAGCCATCAAATAGTCAAGCATTCTCAGAACCATGAATTTTTTAGAAATACGGGGTTCCCAGAACCTCTTGAAGATCATTCAGTATAGGTCCTGGGCCCCTGGACAGACACACCTACGGCCCATGATGACAGATTGCAAACCCACTTCATCTCTGAGGGAGACTCTAGAACCTTCCTTGATGTCTCTGTCTTGCCAGGAGCCCCCCATGCACATCTAACTTAAATCTTCAGTTGCACATCTCTGTCTCCACAGTCAAGTGGGAGAGGCCCGCTCACCATGGAAGTGTCATCCTCGGGGAGAGATCTAGGGGTGTAGGTGAAACTGGCAAAGTTGGAGTCAATGGCAGCCACAGGCTGGATCCCATCATGGAGAAGTTTGGTGTACTCATCATCTGAGACCTAGAGGGGGTCAGCAAGGGCATTAGAAGATGACCTCCACCTCATCCAGTGTCCTCACCTTCAAATTCCCCCTCATGCCCTGTGACCCACCCACTGTACCTCCTTGTGCCACCCCCATCTATACTAGCCTATCCTTGGTCAAGACAGAGAACACCCTTCATGACACACCCAAACCTTGGCAGCCTTTATAGACACTAACTCGAGTATTAGTTCTTTGGGGAGAAGCATCCCAAGATCTCACCTCAATCCTTTCTATTGAAGTTGTGCCCCTACCCACAAAGCCTAAGATACTTCGGTTTGGACAGTTAAGAGGAAACATTCAAATGAACAATGACCACCACACACTCTGCACTAGAGTCAAGCACTGCTTTTCCGGCACAAGGCCTGGAATGGAATGGAAAGTCAGCAGTCACTCAGGGCCCCCTGACCATGGTAGCTAAGGGTGCTGTGGGCAGGGCCCTAAGGGGGCTTCCCAACCTTTAATAATTCCCAGGGTGGGAATTATTCCCAGAAATGGAGGCTATCTGGCTGACCAAGTTCTTCCCTAGGCTGGGTCCTGGGCCCTTGGGGTTCAATCAGAAACTGCTTGGAAAAGAGGCTGCCCCAAAGGGGAGCAGGAGGCTGGAACTGCTCTGAATCTATCTTATTGAACAGAATAATCAGAAAGCCCAACCTGGTCCTGCGCCCCTGAGGATTTGAGGGGGCTGGGAAGGGATGGAGAGGACCAGGAAGACTGTGGGGACCCTGGGGCTCTGGGCAGGGCAGAAGTGCTATGGGGGCCTCACCTTCATGTGGTACATCATCATCTCATTGGCCAGATGGCTGCGGTACTGGGCCTCATTCACTTTCTTGTAGAGGAGGGACTGGGGGAAAAGAGAGGGAAGATGGGGCACAACAAGGTGGCTGTGAAATCTCAGAGTGTCCAGGGTTAGGACAAAGGGGGTCACAAAGAAGTCCCCTTCTTGTCTCATGCTGACCCTTTGAGCCCCAGCCTGGAGTAGGGAGCCCCCTCCAGCTTTCATCCAGATTCCTCTTGCTCATTAGCATTTATCTAATGCTAAGAGGACACCCCCCTCCTGAGCCTCACCCAGTCTTCAGTGATGGGGCCTGAGGGCAACAGCAGAGAATGAGAACTAAGGAGGGAGGTTAGGGTTAGGGTTAGGGTTAGCGTTAGGGCCAGGGTTAGGGTAGCATCAGGGATCTAGGGATTCGACTCCTGATCCAACATTTCACAAAACAAAGCTGTCAGGGGCTTGGGTTAGACTGCTTCCAGAAAAGGGGATTAATAATGACAACTGGGATTTCCTATGATCCTGGGAAGCTAACTGTACAGGACAGCCAGTCTGCCCAATTTCCCCAATTTTTAGGCCACGTAAGGTTGCATGACAACCTATCATCAGGCCAGGGAACCCACTGTTTGGACAGAACAAGGAGAGCCAGTGCCAGGGGAACAAAGGGTCCTGCTCCCGGGCCTCTGGCCCTGCTCACATGGGCGATGCTGATGCCGCAGTAGATGGAGAAGGCCGTGGCCAGGTCCTCGTCAAACTTGCTGAACCACGGCCCGTTGATCTTGTTCACCAGCTCCGCCACGCCGATGACCTCTGGGGGCCAGAGAGGGCTTAGGACTGGCCGGTGTGTGGTCACAGGGGACGTCCCAAGCCCAGGGCCCTCCAGGGCACTGGGGCTGTGAGGAAGCCCCTCCACTGGGCTCCGCCCATTCCCTCTGCAAGGCCCTTGGGTCCAGACCACGGGGACTCTCACCCTGGTTCTCGTTCTTGATGGGGAAGCAGAGGATGTTGCGCGTGCGGAAGCCGGTGCTGTCGTCCACGCCGCGGTAGAAAAGTGGGTGCGCATAAGCGTCCGGGATGTTCAGGATCTGGCCGGTGGTCGCCACGAGGCCCGCGATGCCCTGGTCCGCGGGGATGCGGATCTCGTAGCTCTGCCGGGGCAGGGAGCAGGAGGGGAGAAGTTAGTCTGGCCACAGAGAAATCGTCGACTGTCCTTGTCCCTGTTCCCAGAGCCCTCTGGGGGCTCCGGGCCCCCAGAATAAGGAACACACACACACACCCCCCACACTGCACTGCCCAGCCTCACCTCATCATCCACCACACCTCCATCGAACACCTTAGCCACCAACTCGTTCTGATCCAGCAGGAACACAGAGCAGCTGTGGGGAGATGGGCTTGGTTCACAGGGCCCAGACACCTCTCTCTGACCACCCCCCACTTCTCAGGACTTGAAGCTAAGCCCAGATTTCTGAAGCCTGGAAGGGGGGATCCATGGCACCGCTGAATCCAGGCATTAGTCCATCCCAAAGAAGTTTTTTTTTTTTTTTTTTTGTGGTAGCACTTACTATGTGCCAGGCACTGTGTTAGGAACTGAGGACCCATGGCCAGCAAAGCGAGCCCCGCTCTGCTGTCATTGGAGGTTAGTCTAGTGAGGGAGGCAGGCATGAAATAGAGAAGCACATAAAAGTCGACGAGTCCCATAGGAAGGCAGGGAAGGGGGATGAAGGGAGAGCGGAGGGATGAGAACGGAGAGGCAGAGCAGTCTCTTGCCCCACCCCGGGATAAATCCACTCACATCTCTGCATTGCTGAGGTTCCTGGCCTCTGTGATGATCTCCTGGAGCAGGACAGAGACATCATCTGTGGACGGGGTGGGAGGGACGTGGGGAGGCAGTGGTGAGATCAGGCCCATATGGCAAGGTCAGACACCCCCTCCTCTCCTCCCCAAGACACCAGCCCCACTCCCCCACCTACAGCCAGGTGTGGAAGAGTTTATTGCACTCACCCAGATGGGTGAAGAGGTTCTTTGCCACTTGGAGAAGAGCCTGGAAGGGGGGAAATGGAGATCATAGGGGTTCAGGTTGCAGGGGATCACCCTCTCAACACCACCCCTCCGCCACATCCGACAGCCCTAAGGCTCTCTGGGCAGGCTGGAGACCAGCATAGCTGAATTATATCATTCAGCTACTAAGTCCAGAAGTGGGAGGAGCCCAGTGAAGGTGCTGGGAATGTCCGGAGTTTCAGGTGCGCATTCCCCGCTGGCTCTAGGCAGCGGAGGTGTCTGCAGTACCCACATTGACCACTAGAGGGGGATCGCACACAGGGCCTGCTGGGTTTGGGAGGGCTCCAGGGCGCCAAGTTACCTGCCTGCCTACCTTTCCGAAAGAGATGGGCTGTCCCTTGTGAATGACTCTCTGGAGCTGAAAGCTGGGTAACTTTGTCCCTGAGGTAGAGGCACAAGCGGGTCACTCACCTGGCACTCACGCTTGAGCTTCTGTTCCTTCTGGAAGGCCAGGGTGTTGGTGAGCACAGTGCTAGTGTAGTGGAAGCAGTGCTGGACCAGGGACTCGTCCTGCTCTGTGAACCTGGGGGAGGGCGCCGGGGTCACACAGGGGGCAGCCGACAGACTCCTCTCACCAGGTGTCCTCACTTCCATTGCCCTCAGGAAGCCACCACAGCCGCCACTGTCCTGCACTGGGACCGCTCACCCTCAAATGGCTGGGGTGAGGTCCCCCTCAAGCTGGGAGTTCCAAAGGGAAGGACTGTAATCCTCCTCTGACAAAAATGTGTTTTTCTCTTCAGACTATTGCTTCGTGAAGCCAGAGCCATGTCTCTGGTCTCTGTCCCCGACACAACACTTCCCCCACCCAGTTCCTCCCCTCCCGGACTTCAGATTAGACTTCCTGTCATTGTCCTACTCTCCCCCGGACACTTGGGACCCTAATTTGGTGCCTCCACAAATCCTAAGGTGGTTGAGGGGAGGGCTGCGTCCATCCTACTCACAGAGCTAGCTCTTGTCTGACAAGATCAACCCCAAATACTATTGAGGTCATTCAATAGGGCCACAAAATGACTTGTCACCAGGTTGCTTTTAGGGCTGGATGGATCAAACTGGGGGGGGGGAGACCTGGGCTGAGGATTTGGGTAGGTCCTTCCAGTTGGAGAGCATCTTGGCCTTTTCTCTGCCCCCAGATTTCCCTGCTTAGGCCCTTCCCTATTTTTTGACTGGCCTCAGTGTTCCTGTCATTCTGGCTATCCAGAGACTCAGGTCTAAGTTCCCAATCCCACCATCTTGTGTCTCAGCCCACCTTCCTTACCATGGCATTTGAGGCCCTCAGTCTGGTCCTGCCCACCTTTCTCCTCTCATCTATGAGCATCACTCAGCTTCAGTTACACTAAGATCCTCATCCTCCTGAGAGGCCCTCAGCTCTTTCATACTGTCGTGCTTTTTCCCACACTGTTTGCTCTGCCTAGAATACCTTTCCCATCTTCCTTCCTCTGTGCCCTGAAAATACACTTCCAGTCTTGAAGGCAGAATCATGCCATATCACTGCATGCCCAGTACAGAACCTGGTACAGGCAGCAAGGAAGGTATTTGCTAAATGTCTCAAGTGTGCCCTACCTCTGCCCTCTCGCCCTCCCAACTGAAGTGATTCTGGATCCCTGGTTTTTGGGTTCTAGGCAGCTTCTCTGCAGTCACTGCTTTGAACTGAGCCCTACCTTGGCTCCTGCAGTCACTTTGCACTCTCCCTGAGATATATAGGACCAGACACCGCCTTGCTTCCGCCCTAGGCCTCAGGGCTGTCACCAATACCCCATCTTGTTTCCTTTCTGATACCACCTCTCTTCCAGCTCCAGGTCCAGGCCATTTCAGAACCCAGTCCTACACATGCCAGAGCCCTGCCTGGACCCCCACTCACTCTGCACTGTCCTCCCCAAGGCCCTTCCCAAGGCCATCTGACCAGCATAGAGCTGGACACATTAGGTGTTGTTTCTACCACGAGGATGCCCGCCAGTAACCAATGACAGAGATCCTGCATCCCCCCCTGCCTCCGCAGGCCCTGCCTTCATTTCCCTGGGGTCCTCTAACACAGAGTTCTGTGCTAGTGAGTCCTGCTGCCAGACCGGTCCCTGCCAGATCACTGCCCCATCCCTGGGCATGGGCTTCTCAAGTCCCAACATCTCTAGTCCCCACACTTCCTGTAGGAGCTGGCCCTCAAGCCCAGCCTGTTGCTTGGGCCCAGGGGCCAAACATCATGTCAGTAGCTGTTCACATCCATTACTGAGATCGACCCCTCACTTGCCTGCTCCTCCCTGCCTGTATGACTCAGCACAAACTCCTAGGCCTACTGGACCAAGTATGGTATTTGTGTCCTGCACCCGCACCCAGGGCAGACAAGGCCAATCAATCACAGCACTGTTTCTCATTAAACTAAGATCCATTCTCAACACCAGCTACTACCAATGAATGAGCTGGTATAGGACATAAAATCTATTTATGGTAACACTTCTAGTCCCCCAAATCTGACCTCAGTTCTTGAGCTATGATTCCTGATAGGCCTATTTACCTGACTCTGTCCTATCCACTCTGGACCAGAGGTTCCACATGATTCTTACAGCTGCCCTGTCAGTACCTCTAAAGCCCTTCAGCTTAGCACAGACCTGTTTCCTTTAGCCACTGTCCACTGTGTTGATGATGCTCTGAGAGTCCCAGAGAGTTCACCACCCCAGAGCACACCACCTTCCATCAGGCAGCTCCCAGCAGCAATGCCAAAACAGGGCATGGCAAGTGGGGTGGGGGGTGGAGTCAATATCCTAATAGTGGATAATCCAGATTGCAGGAAGTGGGGGAAAAAGAAGGAAACTGGGTTGGACCTCAACATGACTTTAAATAAGCCAAATGGGTCATGGAGAGCCAAAAATTACCCATGCCTCCGTTAGCTGCGAGGGTTTTTCAATCCCATGGGTGCACTGACAAACTAGCCTGCCCACTAGGGCTGGAACAGTACTTCCTGCCTAGCACCCTTCCCACACTGTTACCCCAGCAGAGCACCACTCAGTCTCTCAGCTCCGTCTCTTGATCCCTGTGGCCCAACCCAGACTCACAAATCTCCTCCAAGCTTGTTGAAGGCACAGGCCAAGGCCACCACATGGTCAGTGGCCCGACTTATGACAGGGACACAGAGCATAGACTGCAGCTCGCAGCCCAACATGCTTTGCAGCTGTTGTACATCCTCCTGCAAAGTGGGGGTGGTAAGGGAGAGTCGAGTCAGAACAGGGTCAGAACACTCTTCCCTCCCCCACACTCTGGAACAGGTCATTCTAAGGGACCCACGCAGGGTGGGGGAACGCTAACACGGGGGTGGATTGGTACCAAATCCCCAGGTTTTGTCTCCTTCATGCCTTGGCTGCCCTGTCCCAGAAACCCTGGCTCTGGGGGCTGGACAGCAAGTTCCCCTTGCTTGCTCCCCTGTTCCAGCCAGTCCACAGCTTACTGAGGTGAGGTCCTTCAGCTGGATAGACTTCTTGTCTTCCACCACCTGGCCCAGGCGTCCTGTGGTCAACTGGGGAGTGAAGAGAGGCTGAGTCAGGGCCCAGCTTTCTCCAGGTCAAGGAGCCTCAGACTCTCCCCGCTAATTGTGGAAGTTTTGACAACCTCTTTAGTTAGTCCAAATGGTGCAGTCAGCACTGAGGAGCAGAGCAGGAGCTCACCGGAACCCCCTACGGAAGACTCGGGGGTCTTCCCTAACCCGGAGAGAGGGAAAGCAGAACCCACGGTTCTCATCAGTCGCAACTGATTCTAAGACAGCCACATCCAGAATTGCTCCAACAGGAGTGAGCTGGCCCCAGGGAGGCTTTCTCTAGATTGAACATTTCTTCTCACGGGTCCTGATCATGGACGGTTGTGCTCTCTTGTAACATTTCTAAGTAGATCCCAAGATCCAGATAATTTCATCAGATTCCAAGAGATTCTACTCCTCTCAGTCCCTCAGGGCAGAGCCAGTCACGCTTGGCTGGCCTTAGCTGCTTCTGAAGATTCCAACACAAGGGAGGAACCCAGGACTTACCGGAAAGCTGATCTCTTCCTCCAGCACTTTTTCTCCCATGACCTGAGGAGGACAGGTTGGGAAAAGCAAGATTTTCCCCCTTAGCGACTGGTCCCAGGACAGCCACTCGCCTCACCCCACCCAGTGGACCTGGGTCCTCACCTTACAGGAAAGCTGGAGATTGTCCTCGGACACCAGCAGGAGGCAGCAGCGGGATGCCTGGGTCTCCTGCTGCACCTGAGACAGGGACAGAGCGAGGGGCTGACCGTGGAGCCCGGGCACCTTCACTTCCCACCCTCTGGCTTCTCTGAGCCTCCTGGGCTTAGTGGAGGAGACTGGAGGGACCGGGGCATCGAAATCTGAACGATGAGAAAGGGCTCACGGGACCTGGGTGCTGGAAGAAGATGGGTTGGGGAGTAGGGTGGGAAGGGGACAGGGACTCACGTATTGGAGGATTTTGAACTGCAGGGACGAGGCATCCAGTTCGTAGAGTTCCCCTACAATGGTGGGGCGCGGGTCAGAGACGACCCAGAGCCCCTAAGCCTGCAGCGCGTGGGGATCCACCTGCCAGCCCAGCCCAGCCCACCTGCTTTAGGGCCCCGCCCATTCAACAGTCGGCCCCGCCCACTCGAGGCCCCGCCCCTCTCCGTTCAACCCTGCCCCGCCCTCTGCCCTCCCTGGGGCCAGACCCTCACCGCACAGTTGCAGGATCTTTCGGTCCTGGTCAGTGTACGCAACCCCGCCTTTCTGGTCTCCAGGCGCTCCCTCCTGGGGATTCTGGGCCTCTTCTGGGGCCGCAGGGGGCCCGCGCTGCTGCAGGGCCTGCACCCTCCGCAGGGCTACCAGGGTCTGGGGCAGGACGAAAGGTGGGTGAGCCACTGAGCCCACCTAGTTACCAAGCTCACACCCCGACAATTACTCGCCTTTGCTCAAGTTGTCCCCTCTGATTCTGTGCCCATCGGCCCCAGTCCAGTACCAAACTCAGCAAATCACTCTCCTGTAGGACCCACTGGCCTAGAGTGTCCTTGGTCCATGAGCCCAAGTGCAGAGTTTGTCTCCACCTCTAGGCCCCAGACTTTTCTAGGACAGGACTGGGTCAAACTTCTGTTTCCACACCCACAGGCACAAAATCATAAATCTCGGGAAGGGAAAAAGCCTCTAGATGGTTATGAAGCTAGTACTTCCTGCTTACTGACAGGTGTTTGCACTGATCCTACCACTATCCTTATTTTCAGATGTGAAACCAAAGCTCAGAGAGGTTAGATGACTCGCCCAAAGGTGGTAGACTGTTGTGCCCAGTTCCCCTGTCAGTCTTCAGTAGCCTCACCTCTCCACCCCCCAGCCCTACCCCCACTCACATGCTTCTCCACAGCTTGCAGGCTCCACTCCTCACTGTCATTCAGCTGGCCACAGTGTACCTGGAGGAACATGGGAGGAGAACCACCTGTGCCTTCTAGCTTCTTGTCCCTGCCAGAGTGCCTTCCCCATACCCAGCACTCAACTGTCCCCACAACACATACATCCTCCAGTCTGTGGGTCTCAACGATAAGCCCATCTTTCTGACCAAGCAGATGCCTCCAAGAAAATCCCCTCCTCCAGGAAGACTTCTAGGGCTAATTCAAAGAAGTGGAACTTTTCTGATTTCTGCTTTTTCAGTCATTGTCCCTCAACAGCACAATGCTGGTGTGTAGTGGGAGAACAGGGTACCCTCAGACTCCCTTCACCACCCAGCCCATGGAACCCTTCCTGATTATGGAATCAGTGGTATTTGTCGCAACCTTTTAGCTCATCTTTTCTGAGTTGGGGTTTGAATTGCCCCTAAGTCTGGGGTAAGGGAAAAGTTCTGACATTTAGGATGCAACTGCTGTGCTTAAAAAACTTAGAAGGATGGATGGGTGGATGGAGTGATGAAGTACTTTCCCTTCCATGGGATTCTTTTCACCATATAGGGCAAGCTTCTACCAAGCAGATGAACTAGAGCCCAGAAAGTTTGAGTGATTTGTCCAAAGTCACAGAGCAGAGAGTGGCAGAGTTGGTAATGCACCACCACTCCCTCCCCTTCTCTGCCTACTCCCTCCCCTCTCCAGATCCATTCTCACCACCTCCCACCCCCACCATCCTATCCCTCTCCAAGTTCCCTGTGTCAGTTACCAGGATTCCCCTCAGCCCATCCTCCGTACCCTGTGATGTCCCCTCTCCCACTCTATGTGAGTACTTGGGGAGGAAAATGAGAGAGGAAAGGGTGCAGTCTGGGACCTTCTGCAGGCCCTGCCAGCAAGTCTCCCCACCAGTTTCCGGAGCCTACTCAGAGCTATTTGCCACCTGTGGGGCTCCCCACAGGGCCTGAGCTGGAGTCCCTCCTTCATCTCCCCTTCCCACTCAGCAGCCCCTGCCTGCCTCTACTCTAAGTCCCCTGCCAGGAGCAGATGGAGAGGGGGAGACCAGCAGGCTCTCTGGAAGCTCACAGTCTGGTTGTTGGAGGATGGAGTGGGGGAACAGGATTAGGGGGTGCAGAATTTCATACCTGAGGAAGAAGGGGAAGGCAGGCCAGGTGGGTGGGGACCTAAAGGCTATGGGAAGACAGAGTGGGTGGCCTCAGGGAGGCTTCCACGCACTGCACGAGAAGGATGAATAATTCCTGAAGAGGGGGCACCGCAGGCAGGTGACTGTCCTGGCCAGACTGGCTGGTTGGTGGGATGGGGTGAGGAGGGCCCAGGCAGGGGTGGGGCATCAGGAGGCAAGGGCCTTGTGTACAAGGCTAAGGAATTAGACTTTCACTTGACAGCAACCTGGGGCAGTAACCTGGCCGACTTAAGCATCTGTGGACCATGTGGTGGAGGGTGAACTGGAGAGAGCAGGAAGCACGTTGGAAGCCTGGGCCAGCAAGGAGAGTGCTGAAGGTTCAGCTCTGGATGAGCAGGGATTTGAAAGATGAACCATCCCCATGAGCTTTCCATAAATATTTTACAGTTAGTTAGCAGATGGGAAGAACATCCTTTTTGTTTCTCCACCTGGACCCTTCTCTTAGAGAAAAAGAGAGACTCCTTTAGGGTTATGACTGTAACAAGTTCCTGGGCTGCCAGGACAGCCTGGTCACAGCACAAAGCTGGGGGACTGCATGAGAGCCCCAAAAGACTGGGGCAAAGTAAGGAGTCCTCCTCCACCCACTAGATGCCTGCACCCTACCACGCACTCCTGAACTGCCTCAGCTCATCCCCACCAGCATGTGCACAAACACACCTACACATGCTCAGGAAGCCCCTCAGCGCTCCCACATGTGCTGCTCTCCCATGGAGATGCACATGCATTCACATGCACACACATGTGCACACACAGACACACACACAGTGTCTACACCATCCACGTGCACTTCCATATGCAGGATACTTGAGCTCACGTACACAGGAGCCAAGCACACACCTCTGGCTTCTCCCGTGTGCAAACGCACAACACACACACACACACACACACACACACACGACTTCTGCTCACAACAGGAGCACACACTTGCACCAACCCTGGCTAATCAGGGGGCGTGTCGGGCACAGAGGCAGCATTCAGTAGTGGGCACTGGTGCTCTAGACAGGGTTGAAGGCCCAGCAAAGCCCTTCACCCCTCACTCTCACCAAGTTCAACGTGGCTAATTGCACGAATACTCCATCCCCATGTAAGGAGCTGGTGTGGCTGGCACAGCTGGGGGGAAGAGTGGGCACAAATCACGCATCAAATGCCAGAGACCAAGGGCCGCCCATTCCTCAAAGGGACTTATTATCCCAGAACTGAAGAACGGCACCAAAGAGTCTTTTCACACAAAGATTCTGCAATCAAGGTGCTACAGGCTCTGAGCCACAGAAGCCCAGAATTCACCCAGGCAGCCCTGCTCCAGCAGGCACATTCCTCAGAGAGTCCTCCTCAGACCAGGTCTCCACCAGACCCCAGTTCCTTGCAGAATGTCCTGGTTTCCTTGCTGGTGCTTGCCATCATTTGCAGCTCTGTATTGTGTTGTTCAATTGTTTAATGTCTGTCTCTCTCACCCCTGCAGACTGGACAGTGCGAAAGCCTGGCCTCTCTTGTCTGTCCCTGTCGCTGCTGTGTTCCCAGCACCCAGCACACAGAGCCCGGCAGTGTTCAACAAAGATGTCTTCAATTGGTTGGGGGGGGGGTGCTTGGAGGGAGGAAGGATGAATGCCAAGAGCTGAAACTCAGAGAGGGGCATGGGGCAGGTTGAGGAAGGAGCTGCTACATCAGTTCTCTCCAGAGATCTGCCCTGTGACACCTTTACCCTCTGCACCCTCTGCCCTCAGGATCTGGTAGCAGCTGGGAGGTGCTGGTGCCTGTGCTGCCTCTGGGCGCCCCGGGGAGGAGCAGTGGGCTGGGATCTGTCACATGAGCCTGCACTGGGGAGAGGGGTGTCCCGGAGAGGACGGCGCAGGCTTGGAAGAAAGGCTGGACATGAACAACCCAAATAGCTTTCAAGAGCTCTTCAGTGTGTGGGTATTTTAGGAGGAGAGGGGACGGTTGTCAGGAACTTCTCTTGGTTGCCAAAGCCACAGGTACCCCCTGGCCTCACCTCAGCACCATCACACTCTTCCCCCGACTCCCACCACCTTCCTCCCCCACCTCACCTTTGCTCTTGTTGTTTTCTCTGCCTAAATATCCTCTCCCTTCTTCTCTGCCCTGGACCGCCTAGCCATACCCCCCAGTTCCACTCAGATGGTGTCTCCACAGTGAGGCTACTCCAGCCTCCCCCTCCAGCCTCCCCCTCACAGCTCCAGCCTCTGATGCCAGAGCACCTGCTGGCAACATCATTTCATTTGAGCTGTAATGCCCCAAGGACCTCCCTGCCTTCCCCCCTACTGAGCTTCCAGAAGGCATAAATGGGTCCGACCACTCTCTGTTCCATGAGAGTGTTTCGCTAGGGTGAATTAAATGTAAGTGACCTCACCCCATGCCCCTTCCCCCCACCCCCACCCCCAGTCACAGAGGCCTTTCCTCTTCCAGAATAGTCTGGACTCCTGGCTCAACCTGAGTCCAGGTGAACAGTGGTCATGGCAACCATCCTACCCACGAGATAAATAACTGTCCAAACATCTTCCCCCGTACGAGCTGCTTCCCTCCCCAGCCCTCACAGCCCCAACACAAGGAAGTCCTTCTCGGGAACCTGGCACACACACCCCTCCTACACACGCCTTTTTCCCGCAACAGAGGTGGGTGGACCGAGCAATCACCCCCACACAGCTCACAGCTCACCCCTGTGCAGGGCCCTAGCCCTGGCCTTCTTCAAAGCAACTGGCTCTGCCACAGATTGGGGCCAAGGGAGGGGGGAGCGCGCTGAGAACTCTGTGCCAACAGCAGATCCGTTCCCTGCGGGAACAGAAGTTGGGGGGCGGGGAGCAGCTTGTGGGAGAAACCAAGTAGGGGTGCATCTCCCTCAGTCTGGCAGATGGGACGATGAGGAGAGCAAGCTAAGTGCCCCTTCCTTCCTCTCCTTTCCCCATGGACCGGCCGCCACCCCCACCCCCTCCACACTCCCTGGCCAGCACTCCAGAAAGGTCAGGCGCCTCAGGAACCTTTAATTCCATTTTAATGAGCTCAGGAGGAGTCCTGGGGCGCACCCAGACCCTCTCATTTATCTGTCTGCACCCTCCCCCTAGTTGGCCTTTTACTGAGGTGGCGGCTGCCTCAGTGGACCCAGATCCCCAGTAAAGGTGATTTTCAGGCTCTAATCCCTCGGTTCCTAGGACAGGACAAATATTTTGAACGCCCACCTCCTTATGGAGAAGGGGCACACGCCGGCTTGGCGGGTGGGGCTCTGTCAAACCCTGGGGCAGAAGAGGGTAAAGGGGGAAGCTCTACCCTGGGTTGCCGCTGGACTCCTCCAGGTGGTGAGGTACCCCTCCACTGAGCATGGGCCCCCCAACCAGAAAGCCTGCCCTGTTGCAGACTCAGCCATTGGGCTGGCTGCCTTCCCAAGCAGCACCTCCTGTGTACCTCCTGTCCTCAAGCCTCCTAGCTCCAGTCACCCCAATTCTGACTGGCATTCCCATACTCTGTGCCTTCGTGTCCTCTCTGGACACTGTCCCACCCACCCAGGAGGAAGCCAATGAGGACTCACACTCAGGGTCCCTCGCCAAGAATGCCGTGGGGACTGCAGATGGGGCTTGAACACCCCTCAGGCACCAGTGACTTGATCCAGCTCATTAGGTTGGGGGGTGGGTTGAGTTATGGGAGAAGTCCAGGTTCCTCCAGGATCCCCATTTTCCCCCAATGCCAGCCCAGTTTGAGTCTCTCTCTCTCTCTCTCTCTCTCTCTCACACACACACACACACACACACACCCAATCAGACTCTACCCACCACTCTCCTCTGCTCCCCTCCCCACATCCCACCACAACCTCCTGGGTAGGCTCTTACCAAGATGACAGCTGCCACGGCACCAGCCTCCTTGTCCACCAGCGGTATGACCAGCACTGAGGGGGAGAGGGCAATGAGGTGGTCCTGCGGGGCCAGTGAGGCTCAGAAACACTGAGCTGGGACCCGCGGAGGGAGACAAAGACGCAGACACAGAGAGGCCAGGACAGAGACACGAAGAGGCCCAGAGACCCAGAGAGGAAGAGAAGGGTCCTGAGGCAGCAACAAAAACCACAACATAGATGACCCTGCTTAGATGGAGACCCTCGCTGGAGGATTTCTCATGGTCCCTGGGAGGGAGGGAGGCAGGGAAGGCTGAGCACCCCTATTTTACAGATTGGGGAACTGAGGTCCAGAAAGGGGAAGTGACTTGCCCAAGATCACACAGCAAGTCAGGTCTCCTGACTCCCAGTCTTGTGCATTTTCCACATCGAGACAGAGGACAGAGACCTAGAGAGACTGAGACGAGGCAGAGAGACATGGCGGACAGGGGGCACGGAGAGGAAGAGAAAGAAAAACAGAGAATGACAGAGAGAGTATGACGACAACAGCCCGAGTCACCAGAGCCCAGCACATCTCACTACGGCCACTGGCCCCTGAGCCCTGGAATGAGCCAGGCCCTTAACCTCTTATCTCATTTGCGCTTCCTCAAAACACCCCTTCATGGTAGCTTCTGTTACCCCCATTTTACAGATAGGAAATCAAGGCTCGGAGAGATTAGTGGCACAAAAGAGAGAGAATTAGATGGAGGGATTGCTGGAGACACAGAGCAAGAGAAAGAAAAAGACAGAGAGATCAAGACAGGGCGGAGGACACGTGCTCGGGGGAGCCGGGGCATGGTCCCTCCCCGCCCCGGCCAGTCCCCAGCCCTTACCTTGGGTGTCAGGAGCCAGCGGGGCCACCAACTTGGCCAAGGGTTTCCCCGGCAGGTCTGAGGGGCCCAATCCATTGCAGCCCAACCGCTTCTGGGAGGTCACAGCGTCTCTGAAAAGAGGACATGACCCACCTTTCAGCCCCTAAATCAAAACGGGTCAGACCCTGACCTGGGGACACACATCAGACGGTGCATCTGCAAGCGCGGGATAAGCCGAACTGCTATAAAGTGGACACAAGGAGGGCAAAAATGAAAAAGTTGGGGACTCTGATACCCTCCACGCCCCCCATCCCCGACCCCACCCCCATATAGAGGGGCAGGAAGGGACAGTGCAGCTTCTGTTAAACACAAAGAGGTATTTTAAAAGCATCAAGAGGTTATGTAACTTCTCCAAGGTACCTCAATTAACAAACAGTGAAGCAGGACTTGAACTAAGCAGTAGGCACCAGAGCAGCTTAACCACAATACCGGAACTTTCCTGAAGACCTGAGGGGGTGCGAATCTTGAACAAGGTGTTGGCATGAAGTAGAGGAAGAAGAGGGCTGAGATGTGATGGAGGGAAGGAGAGGCGTGAGCCGAGGGAGGATGGTGCAGGAAGGCTGAGTTTCTCTCTGCCCTCACCACACGCACCACCCCTCCCCATCTCTCTCTCTTCCTGCTTAATTAAGCGCCTGATTTTTCACCAAATGTCACTCCCTGATGATTAATTGTCCTGGGTTCCTCATCTCTCATCCTGCCTCCACTTAATTGTGTTCATAAGAACTGTCTGGCCTGCATAGAAGAGAAGCTTGGGGGGCTGGGACTCCTATGTGTGCCTGCAGGGTCTCCAAGGGAACCCCAGCAAAGGTCAAATGAAGAAAAGAGAGGTGGTGGCTGGCAAGTCTCCAGATCAGGAGGTCACAGTGGCAAGGGAATTTGAGGACCAAAGAGGCCTGTCAAGGTCACTTGGTATTCCAAACCTGACCAGTTCACTCCTGGCCCCTTTGACAACTTCAGAATCTACAAGAAACTGTGGTGTCTTCTACCTTCTTGTCCTCATACCCTGGGCCTTTAGATTCCTGGAGGGCTGGCCTCCAGTTTTGAGCTGTCCAATGGTGCTAGTCATCCCAGAATGGAATAGTGATCTGGGGTGGTTAGGAGGGCCACAGCTACCACATTTCCTGAAGACTAAACTGATGACGGCCGGGGCTGACCCAGGTGATCTTTAGCCAAAATGCCTTCATGTGAATCCCACCTAGCCACTTGGCTTCAGACAATCTGGTGAATGGGTAGCCACAAGGTGGCACTGGTTCCTGGGTTGCTGGTCAGAGAACTCAGGTTTCATCCTACTGCCCCCTGAGGGGCCCCAGAAGGAGCTTGGCCTCACCCCACCTTGATATATCCCTCCCCTGTGCTCAAGGCCTCATGACTCTCCAAGGCCTCACCCCTTCCCTCCCAAGAGTCCCAGACCCCAGGTCCCCAAAGGCTGCCTGGAGGCCTTCCCTGGATGTCGCTGAAGGGTGCCCACCCCAATCTACATTATCCCCTCCCTCATTTCCCCCAGAGTGGCACAAGCAGCCAGCAGGTCCCTTGCAACTGGTCCACAAACAACTCTAGCTCCTCCCTCTTCCTTATCTCCCCATCCAGTTGGTGAGTCACCCCATGAATCTCACAACTGTCCTCTCCACTCCTAAACCACTGCCCAACTCCAGTGTGACACCCTCCCCCGGGCCTGCAACAGCCTCTTCCCCAGGCTGCTGTCTCGTCCCTTAAACTTATGCTCTGTACCAGAGTCACAGGTTTTCTCAACTGAAATATTTATGGGAACATTCTACCAAAAGGCTGTCACTCCTCGAATATTTATCCGGGGTCTTTTCAGTCAGACTGAGACGAGACTGGGAGTGACACATGCCAGGCCAAGGAGACAGGAATGGTGGTGTGGAGTCCTGAGCCTGAGTGTGGGGTGAGGGTTCTGGAAAAGGGAGCAAGAGCAGGCTCCGCCTGTCCAGGAGCAGGATAAAATGGGGTCAGAGAAGGCTTCCTGGAGACGGAGATGACTGTGGCGAGTCCTGAAGAACATGCAGAGGTTATCAGAAGGATGTGCAGGCAGAGGGAACTCCATGTACAAAGACTCAGATAACAGAAAGAACGTGTCTGCTGGAAGGTCCAACGAGGAGGCTGGATGCAGAGAGCAAGGCTGAGGTGGTGCCAGCGTCCTGAGGACAGGGCTTGGTCTAGAGCAGTGGAGCCCTGGGGGGGCTCTGAGCAGGGGAAGGTAAAGTCAGATTTGATTTCAGGCTGATCACACCCGATGGCTATCTGGTAAAACTCTCACTGGAGAGGGAGAATCTGAGGCGGGAAATTCCATCTCAGGGAGGGCCACGGTGGTCCCTGGACAGCACAAGAAGCTAGGCTGAGGCAGGTCAACCTTGACTGGGCCTCTCTGTGTCTTGGGGTGGGGGTGGGAAGCCTCAATCTTCAGGAGTCCTAGTACCTGAACTCCTTGATCTGCACCCTGGTCTCCCTGGCCCAGGCAGGGGCATGTCAGGCCAGGCTCACCTCCACCCACCCCTTGGGAGTAGCCCTTCCCAGAATTCAGGCCCCCTGGAAGTTCCAAAGACACCCGCAGACTGGAGGGGAGACACCACTGGTGAGTGTCCCCCACCCAGATCGGGGTCTGCTTTGTCTACTGTGCATACCCCTGGTGGCTCTCCCACAACTCAGGCCCCACCCTGCCTCCTCTACTCTCCTGGGCCCCTTGCATCCCTGCACCACCTGCCAGGCTGATGTTGGTGGGTGAAGAGACTCCACACCCTGGGCCACGTGTCCGGGGGAAGGCTCGTGACTCAGCCGGGTGCCTGGGTGGTCATGGTCTGCCCAGGGGAGATAAAGACAGATGGGCACAGTCTGGGGAGAGGAACGGGTGTGGGCTTTATGACGGTCCCGTCCCTTTAACAACTATTTGTTTAGTAGAAATTGTAGGGGGAAAGGCTCTCTGTCAGTGGATTCAATGACCTGGAAAGAACTGAGTATCCAGGCCCCCTTCCACTTTTCTAAGCCCCCTCTTTGAGGAGTCCCCCATTGCTGATCCTTCCTCCCCAGAACTGCAACTGTGCTGTGACCCTTTCATCTCTCTGGAGAAAAATTGTGATTCAGGCCAGGTCCTGGGCCCTCCCTCTCCCTCCGGGGAGACTCTGGAGATGGGAACAGACTCTTCTGGGCCCTCCCACCCCGGACAAATAAGAGAGATAGATAGATTCTGCAGTGAATGGGGACTAGGTCAGCTCTAAGGAAAAAAATTGCTCTAGGTTGGGGCCCAGCCCCCCAAATGGTAACAGAGGGAGACAGCCAGCTCAGGCTGATGTGGGTGGTGCCTCTGTGCAGCTGAAAGGCCCGATTTCGCTGCACTCAGCAGTGGGTAATCAGAGGCTTTACGATGGCAGGAGACACAGCAAGAGGAAGGCGTCAGGACTGGGACACAAATAGGCTGGGAGATCAAGTGGAGGGGGGCCATGCAGCACCCACAGGAAGGAGGCAAAGCCTTCCAGGAAGCCCCTCGCCCAGGCAGTCTTCCAGGATTCTCTTCTGTCCTGAGGCCCCTTCACTGCCTCCAGGATGCAGAGTTGGACCAGAACTCAGACACCAGTGCCCATCCAGTCATCTCACAGAAATACACAGAGGCCCAGAGAGATCACAACCGCAGCCGTGTGCTCCTGGATCCCAGGTCTCCAGCCCTGGGTCCTTTTGTGGACAGACATGTCACTAGGGGTGGTCACAAGAGCCCAGCACCTTTTCTGAAATCTGGGTCCTCCTCAGTGCCGAGGAGCTACGGCGCAGGCCTCCTAGAAGGCCTCTGCCATCCATGGGAGGTAAGTGAAGTATGGGTTGGTCAAGATGGCTATGGCAGAGGAAGGAATTTGCAGCGCAGGAGCAAGCACAAGAAGACAGGAAAGCCAAAACACATTTGGGGGATAAAACTGGGTATCTGTGAGCCCATTGAGGGGTGGGGGACAGTGGCAAGAAGGGCCTCCTCACTCCTCCCTTGGGCCTTCTTCACCCTAGCTCCCCACACCCTCCTTACCCACTCCCAGCCCCTTCCTTTTGGCTTTTATCTGCCTTTATGGTCTGACTCCACTTCACACCTGCTGCTGTTTGCCAGCCCTGCCAGCATCCAGGACTTCCTGCAGGGGCAGGAAAGCCCCACAGGAATATTTGTGAGCTCAGAGGTGCAGGAAGGCCTTTCTACGCCACTTGGGGGAAACTACTGCATGAGGTGAGCTCATATTAAGCAAAGTTTCAAAAGCAGGGGTGGGGACACTGGCTCAGAGGAGAAAGGGGCCATTATAGGATTTTTCCCCTTAAGATTCCAAAGACCTTCAGCCTTCTCCTGCCATCTTACAAACAGGAGGAGAAGCAGAGTGGGGACTTCTTGTTTCACACTGTCCTTGAAGGGAGAAGTGGTCAGGAGATGCTGAAGCGGAGAGTGTCACTCAGCACCCACCCCATGGGGAACAGAATGGGAGAATGGGAGGGGGGAAGGCTCTGGGCTACTGCAGAGGCACCAGCCTAGGCCATGGTGGCAGGGCCAGCAGAATACTAGTAGCCGGGAAGTCAGCGTTCCCAGTGCCAGGAGGGGGACAATGGATTTCAGGACCAGGCAGGGGGCACTGCCTCTGCTAACATCCCCATTATGGCTGCCCACCCACTCTTGGCTTCTGACCACACTGCCCTGGTCCCAGGATGGCCCTGGGATTCTTAGAAGGTATAACCTGCCCTCCCCTGGGCCAGCACTCCTGCCCTTCAACAGTTTCCCTTCTGACAAATCCCTCTCCCGTCACTGTCCCCTGAATGATCCAGAACAAGGACACCTGAGGCCAGCTTCTGCCTCATGACAGGCTGTGACCATAGTGTACTGCGCCCCTGCGCCTAAAGCCAGTGATTCCAACATCCTGTCACATGAACAGAAAACCGGACACTTAACACTACGTATGGATATAGTTTCAAGAGCTTTACATTTACTCATATAATCCTCCCAAGGACCCTATAAGTACTATTATTACTTCCATTTTACAAACAAGAAAACTGAGGCCCAGAAAGGGCCAGTGCATGGCCCAAGGTTATATGGCTAAGCCAGGATCTAATATCTGAGGCCAGCAGTGAGACCAGAACCACAGCAGGCCGCAGCCTCTGATCTCATTGCTCTGAGCCATGGGGGTGACTCCAGCATTCCACAGGTCAGCACTCTGTGATGGGAAGTCTGTGATTTCATGGCTCTGTAAGAACCCCCGGCAGTTCTCACACCTGCTGGGGTTCTAACTGTAACTGATAAACTGTAGCCTAGATCTGAGAGTGCTGTGAGAAGGCCGCAGCAATTTAGAGGAGCCATCAGGAGAAAATATACCCACTGGCACTTTCCCAGCACCGTCAGCTTCTCCAAAACAAGAGAACACGCCATCTCTCTGCTGTGCCTGGCCAGGAACCCCACCTGGCAGGGAGGTCAAGGCTGGACAGGGCGGGTCAGACCAGATGACTTTGGAAGATGCCCAGCCCTGAGATCCTTGAGGGTGTGAGAGAGCAAGGGTGTGGAGAATGGCTCACCGGACTTTCCCTTCCTGGGGCAGCTCGTGCGGGGGGTCCTCACAGACCAGTCGGGACTCCCTGTCCAGCAGGTAGGTGTAGACAGTCTCCTAGGAGAGAAGATACTCATGAGACCCTGCGGAGAGGCCCTCCAGTTGCCTGCTTCTGGCCTGTGCACAGGTCAGGACGGCAAGGTCAATAGATCCTCTGGGGGTGGTGGGCTCAGGCATCTATTCATATTCCCCAGGTGATTCAGACACGCAGCCAGGCTGGAAAAACTCCCTTGTGAACTTAGCACCTCACTTCTCCTCTTAGAAGGGGTTCTGGGCAGTGATCCATGAGCCTGCCAGATTTCCTTACCTATCATCCCAAATTCAAGGGGCAAGGGAGAGAGTTGGAAGGTGCAGACAAATCAGACCACCCCCCACCTCAGGATACTCTCCACCATGACTCCAGCCTCAGCCAACAATGAAGTGTTCACTCAGGACCATATCTAGAAGGGGCTCAGAATGCCTGAGAAGTTTCCCTCCCACCTCAGCAACATAGACAGTTCAATAAGAAATCACACACTGAGATCCAAGCCAGGAGGTCTTCCTGGAGGAAGTGCTCTTAAAGCTTGTAACTATAATGGCATTTAGATGCATTCAGGGAGCAGGCAGTGCATAGAAGAATGTCTTGTGAGTAGCAGGTATGTAAGTGTAAAGTACATGGAACATTTATGGAACTGACTGTGGAGTCAGGGGTACAGGAGGTGGGCTTGGGGTTAGCAGGGGCAGAGCTGGAGCTGGAGAGGATGATGGGGACTCTGCTGGACAGTAGGAGAGCAGGGTACCCTGAGAGACAGGAGCAGATTTGTATTTTGGAATGATCCCTCCAGAGAATGAGATCAAATTCCCTCTCAAAGCTTTTCCAGTTTTTTCCTCCATCCATTGGCCTGCCCCAAGGGCCCAGAGCAGTCTCTGCCTCAATTCCAGGCCATATCTTGGCAGAAGTACTTGCCCTCAGTGACCCACAGGGAAACCACATTTTATCCAAACTGGGCTTGCTACCCTTAGGAATGCACAGCTGGTCGGTCCAGCCTCAAGGCTCATCCCCAGGGCATCTAGGCTGGCACACCCACCAGGGCACCTTGCCCATGAAGACTTGCCCTCCCCTCTCCCAGGATAGTCTCAATGGCCACAGAGGACACACGCTGTGTGTGATGAGGGAGACGCAGAGGCCAGTCCTGCCCAGAGGAGTCCAGGCCCCAGCAAGGAGGCACCCACATGGCCAGCCAAGTATCAGCGGGAGCTTGGAGGGCTCATCCCTGATACCCTCTCTTTGCTGAGGGTATCAGGGAGGGCTTCTGGAGGAGATGATATAAGAGTGGGTATTGAAGTGGGTATTGATGTAAGAGTGGGTATTTCTCAGCAAGTGTGAAATCTTTCTTAGCAGTAGTTGCCTTTCCTGACTGACAAGCCACAGTCCTGCCAGCCACCCTTTTGCCCTGGCTGCCCCAGCCAGGCCCCATCCCTTCCCTCCCCCCAGGGAATGCCCCAACTCTACTTCCTGCGGAGCTGAGCTAGGCTCCCTGAAGGCACAGGGCCTGAGGGGAGGGAGTGGCAGACACAGGTAAGGCAGCAGATTTGTATTTCGGAATGGAGCCACACTGTCCTCTGGGGTAAGAGTCTAGGTGGTGGGCTCGGGGTAAAGAAATCAGAGGAAAGAGGGGCACCCACTCCCCTCCTCGTCTATATCCAGTCTCCTTGTCATCTGACACCTTCAGCAGCATAGAAGGGGCCTGAGGGGTTTGGCCTAAAATGGTTAAGAGACCCACCAGCACCCAGGATCACACTGATAGTCCTGCCTTGGCAGAGAGAGGGGAGGCTAATCTGGGGGTGGGGAGGCAGGGAAGACAGAGCCTCACTTCACTTCCGGATGTCCGTCTGTCTCCCACCCCCTCACTCTCAGCCCTCTGGGTTAAAATTAGCTGAGTTTATTGAAGAGAAGGAGGGACTCATTTCAGACACATCAGCACCATCTGCATTCGGGGCTGCCTGCCACAATGGGTGCTGATGAGGGAGCCAGGTGCCAGTGGCTCTCCTCCCTGCGTTGGGGGAGACCCCTCCCCCATCTCCTCTCCCTTCTTAGGGGCAGAGAAGACCTCCCATCTCCCCCAACTCCCTGGGGACAGAGAAGATTCCCCCCATTACCCCAACCCTCTTTGGGGGTTGAGCTCCTCTGCACAATCAAGTAGGAGCTCCCCAGAGTCAGGGTGTCTCTCCTCAGTAGGCCCGGGTAGACATTTTCCACTTTCTCAGGAACCTAGTTGCCTGGACCACAGCTGTCTTCCGAGCCCCCAGTTTTGGGGATATAATTCATCCAATGCACGGCATCTACGCTGGCACACCCACCAGGGCACCCTGCCCACGAAGACTTGCCCTCCCCTCTCCCCGGATAGCCTCAATGGCCACAAAGGACCCAGGGAAGCCTCGCAGATGCTGTTCTGCCAACTTCCTTACCTCCCCTTTCCAGATGTGCCTCTAACCCAGGCCAGATGTTGCCTCAGTCCCATCCTTCTCCAGGAGGTTTTATTTTTGGGTACCAACACACCACCCACTTCCTACCAATTTCATGCTCAATAAAGCTCACTCATTAGCCCTCCTCCTGGGCTCTGAACTTCTAGGAGGTTTTTGAGAAGGCAGAACTGAAGAAAAGGAATGGGGGTGCTTAGAGGCCAAACCCCATTTGTCCCTGTCACACTGTATGACCTTGGGGGGAGCACCCTCCCTCTCTGGGCCTCCAGCAGCTCATCCATCAAGCAGCTTCAGACACAAAGGATTCTGGTAGATGGAGTGTCACATTCTGAATTAGCCAGATTTCCTGGAGTAGAGACTGCCCTGGGTTGGTGTCTAGCGTAGGAAAGAAGACATTCTAGGACTCCATTTTTGGCATCTTCTCCAGGAAATCTTCAGTGCTCCTTAGCCTGGCCCAGGTCCACTCCCCAGACTCTGACAGTCCTGTTTCCCTCTATGTGGCACAACTATCTGCCTTGAGGGCTAGTAAATCCATCCTACTGAGTAAGGGATGGGTAGTAGCCAACAGAACTAGGTTGGGGAGTACCTGGGGCACAGTTCCCCTACAAAGGTACTCTGGGCCCAGGCAACCATGCTGACCAGGTGACTATGGGCTGAGGCAACCACCCTCCATCTGTCCCCGATCTGCAACCTCATACATGGCATTGGGAAGGGTCAGAAGGAAGCTTAAAAGTTTCTAGAGGTCACCTTGTCCAACCTCCTGTCTCCAGAGGGACACTTCAACTTGGCATGTTTCATTTATCAAGGCTGAATCCTATGTCCACACCTCTCAAATCTGGTATCAAGAAAGTTCTGGGGTCTCCCTGGCGGCACAGGGATTTGAGTCTCAGTGCTATCAAGCTATCACCAGCTACTGCAGCATGAGTTCGATCCCCAGCCAGGGAGCTAACCCACATAGCACAGCAGACCTCTTCTGTCGAACCCACTGCTCCCCTCAGCAGTGTATTTCAGTAGATCTGCCTGTTCTGCCCCCACTCTGTCTCTGGTGAATCTTCCCACCCGCACCTCTGGCCTAAACCCCAGTTCTTGTATGTATAAATAAATAAAAATAAATATATTGTTAAAAAAGTTAAGCGTAGCTACCCTCAACCCCCACTGCTGTACACCTGACTCCACAATCTCCTGTTATCCTAGATGAACCCCTACTATGTCTCTACTATGATACATGATCTTTCCAGTTAAGTTCTAAGTCTCCTTCTGATCAGATATTCCAGGATCCTATGTAAATTCATTCTCCGGGATTTAGCTTCAGCCCTCCTCTTCCAAGAAGCCCTTCTCAGAATACTCTCCAAATCCTTCTCTTCTCCATGAGAGTCCTCTGGGAAGAAACCCTACCTATTCCTTCCTCCTCAAAACAGAGCCAGATCAAGGTTTGGGGGGTAGAGGGTATGGTACTTACCACTTTGGGGAGCACAGCAGAAAGGGCCTCCTTGACAGCCTGTTGCAGGCCAGTGATGTCGATGACGGAGCCCAGGCTCAGCAGAGCATCCTGGAAGACAGGAAAGGACTATGAGAACCTCTGCTGGGCAGGCCAGGGCCGTCCTTCTGTCTACTGTGCTGTGAGCACCCACTCCCCACTTAGACCAGAGCCCTAGGCTCTCAGACACTTGAGGAGACTGAGGCTCAAAGAAGGCCCAGGGACTTAGCAAAAAACTCATAGTCAGTCGAGAGATCTAGATTAGACCCCAGTCTGGCATAGTAGGGAAAGCACAAGCCTCCATGTCAAACAAAGCCCCGAATTTGGATCTTAGCTCCAGGCCTTCCTAGCAGTGTGTGCCTTGGTGTAGTTGCCATGCTCCCGTGTTTCTCTGTAAACTGAGGACACTGTGGCCATCTCCCCTGCAGGTGGATATGAAGATAAAATGAAACTGAGCACTAAATGCATCTCACTGAGTGCCCAGAACCAAAAAGATGTTGCGCAGAATACCTGCTGAAGCTGGGCCTCACTCGCTTTCCCTGAAGGAGGTGGTCTCACCCCGTCTCATTTTTTTCATCTTAGGGAAGACTTAGCCCAGGAGCAGCAAGAGTCCAAAGGGCACATGAGCCCACAAGGTGGGAGACACACAAGGGAACCAGCCCCTGGCAAGACAGGCGGGGAAGAAGGCAGCCTTGACTGCCTCCCAGCCTTCCCGTCCCGGGAATAGGCCTCGTCCTTGGAGAACCGGAACAGAGACAACAAAGGTCCCTGCTCCTCGCTTTATTAACTTGGCCAGAACCACGGGGATCAAAGAGAAAGGTAATGGAACAGGGGATCCAAGGCCAAGGCAGGACTGTGACTCATAGTGTCTGCTGAGCCATGCCCTCCCCGCTAGCCCTTGTAAGTCCTTTCTGATGTCTTCCCTGCGGATAGCCCGGTCTTTGCTCAAAAAGCAAAGCAATTAACACTAGCATGAAGGAGACATGGCTTGGCCCCCCAATCAGGTGAAAATGACATGAGGTTGAGCGTGTTTCCTGACGGCAAACTCAGCATGAACCCAGAGTATAAGTGTGGCTAGTCAAAAATTAAAATGCTGAAAACGCAGGCCTTGTTAATAAAGAGCTGTTGATTCAAATAGGATCAATGACAGTTCCCTGCTCGATAGACTGATTAGACCAACCTCAGTGCACTGTGTCCTGGGTGAGGACAAGATGAGCCATCCAGAAGAAGCAACCACGTGACCCATGTGACTAAGACTGAAGACTCTGAGGGTGCTTAACCTAAAGCAAGGCAGACCCAACTCCACTTGCTGAGACTCTCCTAGGCAGAGGCACTGGACTCTGTGGCCCCAGGGATAGCCTGGGGACCCAGAGGATTTCACAAGAGACCAGCTTTGGCCCAGTGGGGTGAAGGACCTTCTAGGCAGAACGATGCTGCAAAGGCAGAGGCCACTAGGAACTCAGGAGGAAGTGTGTTCCCTACCCCTCTGTGCCAGAAAGGGATAAATGCCCATTTTTTCAGAGACGCTGCCTAGGGGAGCCCTGCGTCACGGTCCAGATAAAAACTGGACTCCAGGTTTGGCTCCAGATTTCACCTGTGCATCTCCTTGGTTTCAGTCTCTTCCTCTGCCCCCACTCCCACGAAGTCCTGTGTTCCCAGCAGTGGGCTGTGTCTCCTAAGGCTCACTTGGCTCTGCTTTCCCCAACCCCCAGGCTCCCTTTGATCCCTCCCACTGCTCAAGGATGAGGACACATTTTGGTCATACAGACATGTCTCTGCTCCCGGACACCAGAAGCCATTTATTCTAAACGCTAAAATCCTCCGACTGGATGGATTGCCCTTTAACTCTTAGGGGCTCCTCATCAGAGCTCACACATCCTCAACCACACCAACCTGGCCACACAGCCATGGACCCTCACATCCTCCCAGAAGCACCCCAGCACGCCTTCAGACACCCTCCAGGGACACACATGGGTTCACACGGTTACAGCCTGCACACAGAGTATACACCAAGGTTACTGCGTCCTTTCAAGGTCAAACATGAAGACTAAAGAGGAGAGGATAAGCTAGTGCTCCCGATAATCCCAAGATAGAATCTGCCAATCCAAGTTCCTTAGACTGGGGCTCCCAGGGCAGGCTCCCAGGAAGTGTTACTGGCTTCACAGTACATTCCTACCTGGAGGCCGGGGTTGGACAAGCTGACCCCTGAGAGGTCCTGCACCCCAGTGGAGTTTGATGTATGTGTACTGTGGAGGGGAGAGGAGATGGATTGAGCTCTAATGTGGGGGAAGAAATTTTTCAAAGTCACAGGCTTGGGAGGCTAAGTCTCCCCATTTGACAGATGAGGAAACTGAGGCTCAATGTCCTATCTGGGGTCGGCCAGTCAGTCAGCAGAGAACAGGTACAGAACCCGAGTCTCTAGATCTCCAGTTCCTGTCTGGCTCCTGCTCAGCACCAGACCCCCAGCTCCCTCCCCAGGGGGCTCAGAGAGAATAGTCTGTCCTTTGTTCTGAATGGTGGGCTCTCTGACATGCCCTTTACTTGGATTGGGGGATGCTCTGAACTGTCCTTTACCAGAATTGGTGGGTGCCTGTCTGGCCTTTGTTCTGATTGGTGTGTTTTCTGTGACTCTTCAGGCTACGGGCAGGATGATGGAGGTGAAGGAGATGGGAAAGGGAAACTTGGGGAGAGTTGGGAGAGCAACAGGGAGGGCATTTCACATTCTTGACCAGAGTGAGCTGGATGCAGATATTGCCAATGAAGTTTGTGGCTCTCTGTCTGGCATTCTTCTGTCCAAATACCCCCTGGTCCTGCCCTGCCCACCCCAGGAATGGGGGTGTTGAGTGCAGGAACTGTGGCTGGGAAGGGTCACCTCATTCATGGCTCTCAAAGGGGCCTCCAAGGTTTGCTCAAATACCACCTCCTCCCTGAATCTTTCCCAGATCTCAGCGCATCCTCACCTCAACTTTGGGAAGGAAACAGCTCCCATTCCAAAGCCCAAGATATGAGGGCTCAGAGGGCAGAGGGTGAAGGGAGGAGAGAGTCATTGGGAAGCAGCTGAGAATGGGCAGTGAGAAAATTCCTGAATTACAGGCACCGAAGGGGAGCTCAAGTCGTGGGCTAGGGCCCGAGCAATCTTCAAAAGAGGGAAAGAATGGCCATGCCTGCTCGAAAGCACCTCTGTACACATCACACTTATGCATATGGCCAGGTGCACCCCTCTGCCCAACATATATGCACACACCCTCACACATGCACACACACAGATAAAAAATACAACCATATATACAATGTACACACAAATATGCACTTAGACATGTGTGCACACATGGACACACGTGCACACAGCCCAGGCTCAGAGTGAGGTAAAGTCAGGTTTCTTGCCCTTGCAGCTTTTTAAACAAACATCCATATAATCTGGCATATTATACAACAGGCAATGTCCCAGACCCAGGAGAAAATTTGTTGTCTATAGACCACCAGATCAAGGAGCCCCAGTCTTGTCCCCGGCTGACCACAGAGCCTCTGGGTGGTCTTCATCAGGCTCACTTTCCTCTTCTGGGCCTCAGTGTACTCACTAGTAAAAATGACTTCCCCTGTCTCTGCAGCATATGATTTCTGGTCTAATTCAACAACTGTGGTTGGATGGATACGTGAGAGGATGAAAGAATAGACAGATGGGTGGCTGGATGGGGTGGGGGGCCTGTGGGGGAAATGAATGGATGGATGGATGGATGGTTGGGCAAGTGGGTGGAGCCTTTTTGCTTTTTCTGCTTTTTTCAGCTCTCACCTGCAGCTCTGGGGCTGGAGACAGGGCACCAGCATGGTCCCCAGGCACTGGCCTCTCACCCTGGCATCAAGAAAGAGGGTCCTATTCTGAGTCAGGGCTCCTCGGGAGCCAGAATTGGGGCTGGCACTCATTTGGGTAAGGGAGAGGGTGTGGACTAAGTTACTCCTGACTCCTTAATGCTTAGGAGTATAGGAAGCCAGAGACCTTGGCCTTCTTTTTTCTGGTGGCACCTGTGCAGGCACTGACGTCCTTCTTGAGGGTCAGGGTCACTGCCACGCGCTGTTGTCCTGTCATGTTTCCACAAGTCACTGTCTTTTCCCATATCCATAAACCCTCCTATTGCTCTCCTGATGCCCAGAATTTAGACCACACCCCTCCCTCTCATGGTGCCCCTCATCATGGCTTAGAAGAAGGAGAGATCAAACCTAAGAGCCCAGTACCTCCAAGACTCCAGCCGTGTCCCTGGGCCTGGTCATGCATACTGATTCATCCAACTCTGCTTGTGCTAGATCTCCTGTGTGGCCTGGGGGTGAGGCACTCTCTCTTGGGGCTTTGGTGTCCCCTTCTCCTAAAGGGGGAGATTCAAGATCCTCCAGGACCCTGGAGCCCTGGTGCCTCTCCATCCCTCGCTCCTTCCTCTGGGGCTCTGTCTCTCTCTCAGGCACTCTCTCTCCTGATCTCCAGAGAGGCCCTCTCCCTGTCCCCAAGCTCCCTCCGTGTCCACCTCTGTCTCCGGCTGCTCGCCCATCTCCGGGAGTCTCTCCCACGTCCAGTCCTCTCTCTTCTCACGCGGCTTCCCCGTCATCTCTCTTGCACAGTCCTGTTCCCACACACTCCTGTCTCTCCTGCCCACTCCTCCCCCAAACCCCCAAGCAGTCACATTGACAACTTGCAGAAACCCAAGATGGGAACCCACAAAATGGGGGAACCCAGGAAGTTACCCATGATGGAGAAATTGGGGGTGTCAGGGCAGATGCCATCTACACCCCTTTGTTTCCCGCCTCCTGTTCTGGTGGGCAATATACATGATTTTATCTTCCCAGAGAACAGGCCCTTCAAGGACAAGGGAAAACTTATCTGTCTCTGGGCCCAGCACGCTCCTGGCACTAGCAAGCCCAGCTGCTCTGTGGCAGTGATTGGCAGAACTCCCCCAAAAGGAGCTTTCCCAGGGACTCAGACCAAAGAAGCCCGCTCTGGCAGAGCATGGATCCCAGCCTAAGCCCAAGCACCCCAAGCTTACTCTGTGACTCCTCACAGCCCTCACAGCATGCCCAGCCCTGCA